TTCAACATCAGTAAGAGGAACAAATGATGAAAATACTGATGAACAACATGATTCCTCAGTAGAACAGGGCTCAAATTGTTGGTTGTTTACACGCCTCGCCCATCAGCAAGTCAGCAATCTTAAGCTGGATGCCGTTGACTTTAGATTGAAAGAAGTCAGCAAAAGCATTTTGCAAGTTCGACATTGTTTTCAGCAGTCAGATAACTCTTATTGGGATTTCTGTTAAGCAGCTTGTTAACAGATCTAAAAAGTAAAGTTGGGTCGTTGGGAGTTTTCTTCAATAGAGGTAGAATAGTTAAGGCCTCCTTCGTTCGATGTAGCAGTTGATTAATAATAATACATTGAGACAAGAATTTCACTTTGTCAGATTCAAGTTTAGATGATCGCCATTTGTTCTCAAGCCTTCTCCATAGTCTCTTCTCGGTAGCAATTTCATCAGTGTACCAGGGTGCGTTAGGATGCAGAGTAATAGTTCTTGATTTCAACAGTGCCAACTTGTCAAGAGCACCCAATAAAGTTGCATCATACAATTGTAAAAGAGAGTCAAGGCTAGATGTTTCATCCAACAACCCTGAGTGGCGTATAGCATCAGTAAGCTTAAAAAAAAAAAAAAATTAACTTCAATAGCTAACACAATTACTGGTAACCCAGTAGTTTACATTGTGGGCTATAAACAAATAATTCAAATTGAACATAACATTGTTAAGAATCCCAACTGGCGGGAGGCAAACCAGTTGGCTAATTACAAGCATGGCCGAGGATTTGAACTCGGAGCCTCTGTGAAACAAATTCAGGTAGTGGTCAGGGCGGGACTCGAACCCGGGAGCGACGGATTGCGAGTCCGACATGCTGACCACTCGGCCACGCTGCCTCCGACAAGCTTGTTAATATCGACGAGCTTGTTAATATCCAGGCTCTTGAGTCTCCTAGAGACAATAGTTTTACGTGTTTTGGGTGGTTTTTCAAAATTCAGGTTAAAACAGATTGGCTTATGGTAAGAGATAGGTAATTGCTCCAGAGTAAATAAGTTTGCCAGGAAAAAAAAACATCAGCATCAGATCTTGTTATTACCATGCAGGTCTAAAGGATGACCATGGTGGTGAGTAGATGCCCTGACATGCTGTTTTAAATTAAAATTCTCGAGAAGAGATGAAAAACGAGTAGATTTACCATCGTCAGATGCATCCACATGAAAATTAATTAATCACCCACAATAAGAAGTTCAGCATTCGAAGTGATGACTTCTTCCATCAAAAATAGAGAATTCATTAAAAAGTAGGTCAACAGTGAGGGCATTATCAGTTGATGGAGGTGGACCATAAACAACAATGATCCCCACAGATTTATAATGGATAAAGATGGAGTCCATGTACTCAAAACTTTTGAAAGATAAATTTATGTCTTGATTTAACATTGAGCACAGTATCATCACAGATGACCTCAAAATGTGGTTAGAACAGAAATGATGTGGCACATAAGGCACAGCAGGGTTTGTGGACATTTGATGGTAACAAGCAATTGATATGTGTGTGTAATTCAGCTTATTACATTAAGTTCCAAAGATTTAAACGATAAAAAGTTGTGAAATACTTTTGAGAAAATACTTTAAAAGTTCAATTTATAGAGTAAAGTAAAATTTATCTTCAACATTTTCCAAGAGAGGGCACTTTTTTGTTCAGAATGGTAGGGTGTAATCCTTTACAAAAAAGAATGATTAAACAGTACCTGCATATTCTCCAGGTGGCTTGTAAACTACTTGATAGGAGGGAGGCTGGGGGATCATCTTTACTGGAGAGCATCTTATCCAATACAAGGAAATTAGTACTCGTGATTGTTGCTTGCTTATGATGACAAGTCAGTGAGAGTTTGCATCATACACCAGTCTATAACTGACATTGTCATCTCTCTCAGTTAGTACATGGGCTATGATTGGTCAATTTAATCAGCTGTATTTTACTGTATGGCTTCTTTTGTAGACCATCCAAGTTCAGCCAATCTTGACAGACCGCAGTACGAGTCCATTACTAAAGGAGGTTCACATGAAAAATGCAAGCACTATTGCTTGTCAGACAGAAGTTACTTCAGATACAGGTTTGAAATAAAACCCTGAAAAGGGGAGTTCATAAAAAAAAAGCAGTAGAAGGGTTTACAATTTAGTGAATGTTCACTCCAAGAGAGGACTGGTAACATGGACTGTCTCCAAAAAATGCTCAGAATAAAGCAATACACATCTTCTAAGCTTTATTTTTTTTAAACAATTTTCCATTGGAATGTACCCCAACCCCCTCCCCCTCCCCTCCCTCCCTTTCCCTGTATTGTCTCAGTTAATGGCTCTGTGCTCAAGAATCTCACTCTTTGGCAGCAAATCAACTTAAAAGCCGTACTTCAAAGGGGTGTCATGTCTGTGGATACCTTGTATGGATAACATAGCTGACCACTATGCAATCAGTTCTTAAAGGTTGATGTTAATTTCATTTTTCACTGATGGATTCCCTGTTATCTCTCATGCCAGAAACCTTTTTCTCTTATGATAAGGGCCAAATACTTAACAAGGCTATGGCTTCTTGAATATAAAATTGAATGGTTCTTATTGTTTTCTTTTCTGTCATTTTTTTCAGAAAAAGAAAATGTTAGACTGAAGAAGCAGTTGTATGCTGTGAGAATAGAAATGGAGGTAAATACAACTTATGTACTAATTTCTCTCATAGGATGTCATAGTATTATTGCCTACCAACAGTAAGCTTTTGGATTATAAACAGTAAGTGCGTGGATTGTTTTTGTGGCAGTATTGTGTGATTATTGAGTTGTAATGGCCATGCATGCTTGGTTAGCTCATGTTGTAGATCAGTAAGTGTGTGGATTGTTTTTGTGGCAGTATTGTGTGATTATTGATTTGTAATGGCCATGCATGCTTGGTTAGCTCATGTTGTAGAAGTC